CTCTTAATCCCGAGTCCTAGGATTAAAAGTGTGTATCACCACCTCCTAGTTTCTGGCTTCTGGGATTAAAGGTGTGTGCCTTTGTGGCTGACTTTGCTTTCTGAATCCTCAGGCAAGCTTTAATAAATCATAAGCAATATATCACCACTCTTAGCTACAGAGCCATCTTTCCAGTCCCTCCCTCTCAATCTTGAGGTGGCCAATCAAAGATCTTTGACCTCTGGGAGAAAAGAAAACCTAAGCAGATTCTGTCATAGGAAGTTCAAGACTTGGAAGATGGACAAATTGGGGGAAGGCGGGGGTGGGGGTAGGGAGTGAGGGTGGGGGATATGAAGCAAAACAGCTGCCATGTTTCTAAGGAGTCAGGTTTAGCTGCTTTTCCACAAAAGGAGATCTCACACCATCCACAATTCTGTCCCCTGAAAGTATATGGGGAAGGGAAGAGGAAGCAGCCTTTAGCATCCACCAAGTCTAGATGAATGCATCCACTCATCATTTTAAAAGTCACACCAATGGGAACTAACCAGCTTCACTTTCTAGCTGCTTCCTAAGAATCAATAATAGGGTACACAGGAAAGATAATGCAACTCCAGTAGTCACTTCCTTCACTGATGGGGAGTCTGGCCCAGAGGATTCAGGTAATGGCAAAACCTGGAAGGGACCCTAGGTCTCCTGACTCATATTCCATATCAGCTTTCATTATGTATTATTGTATAATACATAAAGTAATAAAGTACTGACATCAAATAGGAACCAGATAGGTCATCGACACCTCTACCATCACACCTGGCAATTATGTACACCTATTCTTTTTATCAGATGCTTATGATTCTATTACTGTATTTAAATCATATTGGACTAATGTTCTTTCCAATACATAGGCCTCTCAAGTTATCATAAACACAAACCAGATGTGGAGGTGAATGCCTGTAATCTGGGTATCTGGGAGGTAAAAGCAGGAAGATCAATAGTTAAAGGTCATCCTTGGCCACACAGTAGAGACCAGCTTGGCTTCAATGAAAACCTTGTCCACGCTCCCCAAAAATATACTAACAATAATCTTATTAAGCATGGTTAAAAAAAAAAAAGAAGAACACTGATATGATTCAGAACACAAGTGGTATAACCTGAAGTGATTGTTTTTTACTTTGTAAGAGTTAGTACCCTCCAAAATAAGTTTGTCTATCTTTTTTAAAAACGAATTTATTTATCTTTATTTTATGTGCATTGCTGTTTTTGCCTGCATGTATGTCTGTGTGAGAGTGTCAGATCTTAGAGTTACAGACAGTTGTTAGCTGCCATGTGGGTGCTGAGGATTGAACCCAGGTCCTCTGGTAGAGCAGTCGGTGCTCTTAATCACTGAGCCATTACTCCAGCCCCAAGTTTGTCTATCTTACTAAGAAACTTAAAATATACAACAACATCCAATTATTGGGACTTGGAATTCAGGTCCTTGCCATCAAAAGCTTAAAGCAGATCTCTCCAGAGGCCCTGGAGGCCCTGGGATAGAAGACTCAAGCTGCTAACGATAAAATGAGTCCTATGTACCTACCTGGAGCATCAGGTACTTGGAGAGGAATGAAAGGATCAGACACACTTAGAAGTGGGATGCCAGAATCCACAGCCTGCCCACCCTTCCTTTTTTCAGCTGGGTTAGGTGGAGAGGAAAGATCAGGAGAGAAAAATGAGAAAAGCAGAAAATATCAAGTAAATATTGATGCATTTACCATCTATTCATACAAGAGTCAACTAACCGAGACAAATCCAAATTTAGACAGAAAGGAGGGGGGTAAATGGAAATAACCCAACTAATAGCAAAATACCTAGAAGAAACACCAAGGGGTCCTGTAGCGCCCCGTGAGATGCAGGGAGGTGGATACAGCAGGATAGGCATGTGTTTGAACTTGCCTTTTTTTTCTCATTTTAGTACTCAGTTTGGTTGTTAATTAAAATCTCAATCTGAAAGTCAGGTATGGTGATGTACACTGAAGTCTTAGCGTTCTAGAAGCTGAGGCAGAAAGATCCATGTACATAGTGAGCCCTGTACCCAGCTTCCACAACAAGCACTCTTTCTGTAACAGCAGTACAGCACCACCCACACCATACAACACTATGACCTGAACTATTTGGTTTTCCCTTGTACTCTGCTAGAGTTTGCATTTGAGATGTCCTCCAAAGTCCTGCAATGGTTATAGTTAACTGTCAACTTGCATAACCTAGAACCACCTGGAGAATGTCTGTGGAGGAATATCTCAATTGTATAATTGAGGTGGGAAGACCTACCCTGACCATGAGTGGTGCCATTTCTTTGGGCCGGGCCCTGGACTGAGTGAAAAGGAGAGTGAACTGCACACTAGCATCCCTGTAAGATGCTGCAGCAGCTGTGAAGTGGGTGTGCTTCTTCTTAATTTTTTTTTAACTTTGATCTATTTGGTGTGTGTACATGTACATAAATTTATGTGGAGGTCAGAACACTTGCAGGAGTTGGTTCTCTCCTTCCATCATGTGTTTTCTAGGGATCAAATTCAGGTAATTATATTTGGTAGCAAATTCCCTTACCTACACACCTTTACATATTTTTCTTTTATTTATTATGTGTGTGTGTGTGTGTGTGTGTGTGTGTGTGTGTGTGTGTGTGTGTGTGTGATGTGCCTGTGCAGGCATGTGTATATGATGTGTCTGCAGGCATGTGTGTACAGTATGTTTGTGGAGTCAGTTCTCTTCTTCCATCTTCAGAATCCAGGATGGAACCCAGTTTTCCAGACTTGCACGGCAAGCACCTGTATGTGCTGAGCCATCCTCCCAGCCTCCCAGGGTACAGTCTTTGACACTATTTTGTCCACCCTGAATCTTCTCTTCTGATAGCAGTTGACTTGGCTTGACTCTTCCTACCCAGCTTAGTTCCCTCTGAGAGTTTGATCCCCCAGTTTTTTGCCCTCTCCCTATTTTCTATGATCCTATGTTCTTTTGACAGATTCCATCACTGTCACAGCAGCCACACCTATGTCCTATCCAATGGCAGTTCCTCAGGGTCTACAAAGTATAGTCTGTGACATATGATAATGTGAAAGGCAAAGATGGCATCGTTAGGTGAACTAGCAACACCCCAGGACCTGGCTGTTCACTCACACTCACAACTACTTCCACTACAGAGACCACCAAAACGAAGAAATCCAGACTCCTAAGCCCTGATGTGAGAGCAAGGGCATGTTTGGCCTTTCCTTGGGCTAGCAGGGACCCATCCTAGGCAAGCCAGATCTATAGGAATCAGTGGCAGCAGGGAGAGACTGGGGTATGGAGGTCCTGAAGTGACAGAAAGTACAGGGAGCTACAGTGGTAGCCTCACCCAAGTAGACCAGTATAGGAAAGAGCCTTGGTTAGGGTTTCTATTGCTGTGACGAAATACCATGACAAAGAGCAAGTTAAGGAGGAAAGGGCTTATTTGGCTTACACTTCAGCATTGCTGCTCATCACTGAAAGAAGTCAAGACAGGAACTCAAAATAGAGCAGAATGCTGGATGCAGGAGCTGATGCAGAGGCCATAGAGGGGAGCTGCTTATCAGCTAGCTTCCATGGCTTACCCAGACCATCTTCTTTTAGAACCCAGGACCAACAGCCCAGGGATGGTACCACCAAAAATGGGCCGGGTCCTCCCCCACTCATCACTAAATGAGAAAATGTCTTACAGCCAGATCTCTTCAAGGCATTTCCTCAGCTGAGGTTCCTTCCTCTGATGACTCACTAGCTTGTGTCAAGCTGACACACAAAACCACTCAGTACAGAAAGTGTAGCAAGGGTACAGGAGCTTAGGAGGCACCTATCACCATGTGGGTTTTGAGGCTCAAACTCAGGTGGTTAGCCTTGGTGGTAAGTGCCTTTATCCACTGAGTCACCTCAATAGCCCATGCCAGACTTATTAAGAGAAGAAACAAACAAACAGGTTTTAAAATATACAGATGGACATCACAGCATCACAATCTTAAACCAAAACCTAAAATTGTACAAAGTTATGATCACATGTATTTTGGTGAGGAAGATCTATAAATTTCATTAGACTCACAAAGATGTCTGTGATCCTAAAAAAGTTAAATGCAGACTGCACACTGTGGTGGTCTGAAAGAGAATAGCCCCATAGGCACATATATTTGAATGCTTAGTCCCCAGTTGGTGGAACTGTTTGGGAAGACTTAGGAAGTGCAGTTTTTTAGGAGAAGGTATGTCTGATGGTGGACTTGGAAGTTTCAAAAGTTTCAAAAGCCACGCCAGGTCCAGTGTTTTTCTGCCAGCTGCTTACAGATCAGGATGTAAAACATTCAGCTACTGCTTCAGGAACATGCCTGTCTTCTTCCCACCATGATGACCATGGACTAACCCTATAAAACTGTAAGCAAGTCTCCAATCAAATTCCTTTTTTATAAGAGTTGTCTTGATCATGATGTCTATTCACAGCAACAGAACAGTGACTAACACATACATCAAGACGAAGTCACTATGCTACGTCTAGGTGATGAGATCATGGATGATCTGGATTGTCTCTATACAAATCTGTAACTTTTATATGATAAATATGGATAATTTTTTACTAATAATGGGGAAAACAAGCCTCATTGCTTTGATTTTTAAAAATGCATTTAAATCGACTAGTAAAATATCAAGTATAAGGCAGTTTCTAATTCTTAGAATACTTCAAGTCATCCCAAAAGCCCTAAGAAATAACAAAACCTTGCCAGAGCACCGATTGTTAAATTAGCAGTATCTGCATAACACACAGCCTGAACTAGGGAGGGCGATTCCTATATATTCACCAGATTACTCCATCACTTGAGTTTAAAGTGATTTTAGATGGTTCTTAAATGGTTTTGACTGGACAACTACTGAATAAAGGAAAGTAATGAGTTACTCCCAGAAACTGGGTTCTTTGTATGCTAGAGCTATCCATGCAGCGGAAACCTGAAGGCAACAACACTGAGCCTCATGTCTTAGGCACGTGTCACACTCACCAGTTACAGCAGAAAATGAGGAAGTGGCAAAAGCATCTCCCTGCGTTGACTGGAAGCCTGGGATCAAACTCTCTGCTGAGCCACCAAGCTTTTCAGGAAGCTTTCCTAGAGGGACAAAATACCACTTGGTTCATCCCAGTACTCAGAAGACAGAGGGGCAAGTGGATCTCTGTGAATTTAAGACCATCCAGGTCTACATAGGGAGTTGCCAAGCTACACAGTGAGATACTGTCTCAAAATGAAATAAAATAAAATGGTAGAAAGTATGTTTATAAAACATTGCTGTAAAGGAAGTCAGTTTATAACATTCATCGGCTCTACTCATTCTTTTGCTCTATGTTTATCTCAAACTCAACCTTGGAGAGATTTTCCAGGAGTCTGTGTGGTCTGTGTATGTTTGTCTGGGTCTGTGTAGATGTGCCTGTGTCTGGATATGGGTATTTTGGATACAGCCATGTCTTAGATTGAAAGAATCTCCTTTCGATGGTCAGTCAACAATACATAGACTATGATCAGGACCCAGCATCCTGTGAGGCACACCCTCAGCTACTCTTTCTAGGGAAAGCCTACTGAGGATGAGTGAGACATTTATACTTCTCCAAGCTATCACTCAGTTTCATGTAATTATCCGAGTTTATGCCACTAAATCTTTTCTAAGTTTCTCCTCTATGCTCACACAGTCCCTCCTGCCTCTCACAGCTGGTCAGGATTTAAAAAAGAATTAGTGCTCTGGAAAACATGAAAACGAAAATCAGTCTGCAAACCCTAAAACCAACCTGTCCTTTTCAAGACAGTTCCATTCTGACCTTTCCCAAGCATATCCCTACAGCTAAGACACAGACACACTCAAGTTTAGTCTCAGCTGACTTATAGCCAAGAAGGACAGAAAAGACTCAGCTTGCTCACCTTCCCCGAGCTTGGCAAAGTCCTTGTTCAGCAGCTCTTCAGCCGTGAGTTTGGAGAAGTTGTCATCATCAAAAGGGTTCCATGTTGAACCTTCTGAAGCATTACAGACATTTTGCTGCGAGGTCCTTGGAGAGCCTGAGGGAGTGGTGGTTGCAGACCTGGGAAAGTTTCCCCCAAGAGTGAGGAAAAAGAAACTATAAAAATGCAGAAGGGTCCAAACAATTTTCTCTTCCTTATGGCACCAATTCTTTTCTCAGTCAAACAATCATTTCCCACAGTGTTTTCCTAAAGGACTTCCCATAGAAACTGAAAAGTTTAGTCTTTACAAATGCTGTCTCCTTCACTTAAGCTTTCATGAAATCCTGCAGTTTGCAGGATTCACAGCAACCTATCCTGAAGTCCATGGATGCAGCACAAGCAACCCTTGCTGGGGCTGAATCCCATGCCATTTCAGCTGCCGCTGACCTTCCAGGATCTAGAATATATGCTACTAAGCTATCACCACATGTTCGGAATGTTGTTCAGTGGCAGAGTCACTCTATCACAAAGAAAAATAAATAGTAACCACTAACTTTGTATGCCAAGATCACCTACTGTTCCTCAAGTCTCTCTTGGCTTAAATATGTTTAAATCTCCACAAACTTATGCAAAGAATCACACAGCGGTAACCCAGAATAGACGTTGTCCACATGGTAAGAACAAACATACTTAGATTTATTGAGACTGGCCTCAGCTGCAGCAGCCTGGAGCAGCTGGGTTGATTTGCTGGCAGGAACTCCAAAGACTGCACTGTGTGTTACGTCACTGAGAATCCTCCTGTGCCCAGCACGTTGGGTTTTGGGGGATGATGGAGGAGTGAGAGATCCAACTTTCTGACCCTGGATGGTTGGAGGTGGAGTTGTCTGAACCTTTGGCTGTTGTCTTGCTGGAGCTTGAATCTGCTAGGGAGAGAAAAGTGCAAACCTTCATTATGAACAAACAAAAAAGAAGAGGAGGAAATGGAAAAGGAAAAACAAATCAATAACCAAGTATAATAACACCTCATTTGCTCATAAAAGATTTGGATGGCTAAGGTTATCAACAGCACCAGAAAGAAAACCAAGGCACCAACCATCTGAGCTGCATGGGAGACTGACATCACCAAGGGACTGCCTAGTTCTTATACACATTCCGTTTCCATTAGCTTCAATATGCAAGTCAACTAGATGTAATGGAGCTACCAGCCTAAGACTATAGAAGCTATTTCCAGCCTAAAAACCTAGAAGGTCTGAGGACAAACAGCACCTCACCAGGAATGCTTCCATGGGATAGGCAATACATTCTACCTTCTATTACAGCTAGAAGAGAAGACACATTCCAGCCAAGATGCTCTGGAGCATGACAGTTTCTGGTGAGAGTTGTGGACAACCTCCTACACTAAGTAGAGTGGATCAGACAATCCCAGGGTGACTGAAACACGGTAGCTCTTGTTTTATGTTGTTAAAGGCCTTCATTTCACTGATGGGAACTTTTCTGTTTCAACCCTACAGCAAAAGAGCAACACTGGTTTAGTGGGAGTTACTTGCTCCAATCTTCCTTGAGAAATGGCACTGAAGATCAGTGGAAAATACAGTGAGACAGAAGAAAAGCCTTAATTACGACTAGGCTAATAGAAGGACTCTTGAGAAGTGGTCCACAGAACAGTAAACAAGTGGGAATGCAGTTAAGAACATGTAAGTGGTTCTTAGCCATCTGTATCAAGCAAAATAATTCTAAAAACATTCAGAAAGCCACCTAAGCCCTTTCCTTAGTTTTGCCAATCTGGAAATAAAAAGCCTAGATATTGAGTGCCTCCGGGACTTAACTATCCCTTCCCTCCAATCCCTCCACTCAAGTGAGAGCTACCTCTCCACACTGAAGCTCAGCTCCTATGTTGTGTCTCTGAAGACAGACATCAAGAATTTAAGAAACCAGGACATAAACCTCAGTGGGTCAGGATGTTTACAGCAGAGAAGAGTGTCCTCATGTTGTCCTTAGGATTTGGAATGTTTTTTTTTTTTTTTTGAGGCACACTAACTACCTTTGTCTGTATGCCAACCGCCACACCAACAAGATGAATGACAGCACAACTGTCATTCAAACTGTCAACCAAACTAAGCCAGGAAGGGTGACAGCCCACCAGGAAGCAGAGAGCTCTGTGAAGGTCAGAGCGCTGGCAGTGCATATTCCTTCAGGGCCCACGATGGACTCTGAAGAAGCATCCCCACTATTGAGAGAACACTGCCTCTTTTCTTACTTCTTCAAATGCAGCACACCTAACAGATGCCTCCAGTGGGAGGATTCCTCCTCTGACATGTGAGCAATGGACCCTGAGACACATCTCCAAGACAGAAAGAACTGATCATCTCTAACCTGAAAACCTGAAATAGTTAAGGCTCTAAAACCAACACTTTTGAGCCCTGACTTGATGCCACATTGGAAACTTCTACAACTGACTTCATATAGCAGGCCACAGCCCAAAGGCAAAATACCATATACAATTATCTCACTGTGCAAGTGCCTATGAAATAATTTAATTCTGTCTATTGATCTGGATCTCACCTCCAAGATAGCTCCATATGGATATAAGTATGAGAAACTCTCAGGTACTTTTCGGTTCCAAGCACTTTGGACAAAGAACTCTCAATCTGTAATATATAGTATCTCCATTCATCATCTGCTCTGATAGCAACTCCACAAGGCAGGTTTAAGAACATTGAGAATCAAAGAAAACAAGTGGAAACAGACCTTACAAAACAAATACCAGAACCTTCATTTCCGAGTGAGAAAAGGATCTTTAGTCCACTGAGGCTAACAGGTCAACCAAGGTCATTAGACCACTTGGCCATTGAACCTGACTATGGCTGGGGCTCTTCTGCATCATATTGTCTCCTCCTCCAAAAACTGATTAGAAAGGGGCAAAGACTCAAGAAACCTTGGTGAGTGACATTAATCTGTGCTTGGGAAGTAGAGACAGGGCTCTGTAGATTCAAGGCCAGAATGGCCTGCACAGCAAGTTCCAAGCCACCCTAGACTAAACAGTGAGACCCAGTCTCAAAATAAATACATTAAATTAAAAAATTTTTAAAGGGGCATGAGGGAGGGGTACACCTAGAAGAAAGTAAAAGGGTGGAGTCTGGTGTCTATTGTGTCAGGGACTTGTTTTTTAAAAAGTATTTTAAGTGTGTGTGTGTGTGTGTGTGTGTGTGTGTCTGCCTCCTCAGGTGCCTGAGGAGACCAGAGGCAAGGGATCCTTTTAGAACTTAAGTTTCATATAGCTATTAGTTGCCCAACATGGGTCCTGGGAATAGAAGCTGAGTCTTCTGCAAGAGCAGCAAGCTGTATCAACACTACCTCATGGGGATTTTTTTTTTTTTTTTTAATATGCCAACACAGACTTCAGTTGGCTTCCACCTTGTGGAAGCCTATATTCAACACCCAGGGCACAGAGCTCAGTGCTGGCTCATCTAGGATTATGAGAAGGCTGAGGGTTCACTCCCAAGACAGTAGACCCTTTGTCTGGGAAAGCAGAGAAGAAACTCTTAAGAAGTGTCTTCAGCAACAATGGACATCTTACCACTCTTGAGGAGCATCTGTTATTACTGTCCCCAGACACGACACAGGTCAGGGTTCTTGATCCTTGCCCCAGCTCTAGTACAATCCTTCAGTATGTCTTGAGTAGTAAATTCCTAGTTTAGGTCTCAGTTTCTAATTCCACAAAATGAGGAGACTGAACTAGATACTTAAGATCCCCTCTAGCTATTTCATGCAATATTTTTAGAACCTTTTTCCATTATCCAGAAACAGTTTACTGTAAGTCAAAAGTACAAACGATGTCCATTTACCATATTCCTGTAAAAGACTGAGTTGTTTCAGAAACAAACAGGTAGACACCGAGCATACACTCAGTAGAAACAGAAAGAACACAATCTATCTACAGTACTGTTTCTTTTCAAGGTATGTAAGTGTTCTGGTTTAGGATGGGCAACAAATTCTCTGTAGGAAATGAATCCTCAGAAAGATGGTTTCTCACTTCTCTTCATTGGTTTAGTTGTTGGACCTCCTTGAGAATGAGAATAGCTAGATATACAAACATTCTTGGCTATGTAGTCAAATACCTTTTGATTACAACAGACGTTTCTATTACTCCCATTCAGAAGATTGAGTACACAATACAGTTGTGGTGGTTTGGAAGAAAATGGCCCCCAAAGGGAGTGGCACTATTAGGAGGTGTGGCCTTGTTGGAGGAAGTGTGTCACTTTGGGGGCGGGCTTTGAGATCTCTTTTTGCTCAAACTTCCCTCAGAGTGACTGTCAGTTGACTTCCTGCTGCCTTCTGGTCAAGATGTAGCCAGCACCATATCTGCCTGCACGCCACCATGCTCTCCATCATGATGATAATGGATTGAACCTCTGAACTGTAAGTGAGCCACCTCAATAAAATGTTGTCCTGATAAGAGTTGCCATGGTCATGGTGTCTCTTCACAACAATGGAAATCCTAACTAAGACCACAGGTTACTCATGAAAAAACAGGCCAGAGTTTCTGAGGTTTTCTGAAACTAGAGGCTGGTCATAATAGGGTCTGCTGCCACATTCAGTCAATGTCTAAAACTAGACCCAATCTCTAAACTGACAAAAATGGTTCCAGTTTCAGGATGCTCTGAAAACAGGGGTTATATTGTGGCAAATGGTTCAGACAAACAGACAAACATCGCTGCATGGCAAACTCAAATGATATACTTAACTAGGTCATTTGGAATGAAGAACAAACAAAATGGTATCAGAATTTAGGGTAAATGTGGGGCCACCTGTGGTGGTTTCAATAAGAATGCCCTCAATGGTCTCATATATTTGATTGCTTGGTCATTAGGGAGTGGTACTACCCGGGAGGGATTAGGAGGTATGAACTTGTTAGAGGAGGTACAACCTTGTTGGAGGAATTATGTTACTGTGGGTGGGCTTTGAGGCTTCAAAATCCCAAGCCAGGTTCAATGACTCCCTCTTCCTTCTGCCTGCAGATCCAGATGTAGAACTCCCAGCTGTTTTTCCAGTACCATGTATGCCTGCATGCAATCATACTCTCTGCCATGGTGATAATGGACAAAACCTCTGAAACTTCAAGCAAGCCCCAATTAAATGCTTTCTTTTATAAGAGTTGATGTAGTCATGGCGTCTCTTCATGGCAACAGAACACTAACTAAGACACCACCTGAACCTCCAGATACAGAGATGGGCACAACAAATCAAACTGGCCCTGAAAAAGGAACAGCTCCCAAGTCCCTGGCTGTTCAGCAGTAGCACTGACCAAGACATAGAACCACTTTTTCCACCAGCATAACTTCAGTGTGAAAAATAAGGTTCTTTATAAATAGTCTAGAAATATTCTTTCAATCTCTACTTTCTACAGGATTCCGTACACTTGGATCTATCAGGAAAAAATGAAATAGTCCAACAACTAGGATAGGAGAGCATCCTTACCCTAACTCAGAGGCCCCTAGAGCTTCTGTTACCTCTTCCCTTCCCTTTCCCCAGCCTCACTGCACACTCTCTTCAGTCTTAGGCCAACCCCTGCTGGTTCTTACCGCAGGCTCCTGGGCAGCAGCTGGCTGTGGGGCTGTGGCCGGCTGTGCCTGAGGCTGTGGTAATACCACAGCAGTCTTCTGCTGCAGGGAAGCCTGCTGAGTCATCAGCTGCTGCTGTTGCTGCTGCTGTTGCTGCTGCTGCTGGTAGAAGTTCTGTATCAGCTGTTGCTGAGTGCCTCCCTGGGACACCACAGGGAATTGAGCAGTGACTGGTTGCTGGGCTGCTGGATGTCCTGCCTGAAACTGCACAGGAGAGTGGCAAGAAATGAATCTATCACAGAACCACATTCACAAAAGACTAATGTCTCAATAACTATAAAGACAATGCTGAAGCCAAAGGGTGGGCCCAGCAAAAGCCTGGTAGCTGAGCCAAGTAGTTCAGGACAGGACCCAGGGTATTAGAATCATGCCAGCAAAATTTGTACTGCCAGGCCCTTCCAACTGCACCAGACTGCTTCCCAGGCACAGTTGTAGGGAAGCTCAGCTTTAACTCAAGTGATTAAGGCCTGGAGTGAACAGAAGCAAATGCTTCCCTGCGTGAATAGAATACTTCAGTGATGTTGCTGAAAGAACAACTGAAATGTTAACCAGTGACTACCACCTATTTAGACCTCTCCAAAGTTATTCCCAACAGCTCTCCCTTTATGAAGTTCTGCAATCTCAAATACCCTATCACTAGTGATCCTCCTCCTCTGTACTTTATGTGGAGTCGCACTAAATTGCCAAGGCTTGTTCCAAAAACTTGTGGGTTCAAGCCATCCTGCTACCTCAGCTTCCCAAGTAGCTGAGGGCTAAAAATGCACCCCACACCCATCTTTCTGGCGATTCTTTTATGTCTCTCTACCTACAGTGTTTCGAACTACATGCTAGGTACTCTAATAAAGCTCAAAATAAGAGTCTATTAACACAAAAGTGAAGTCTTGGAAAAGCCCCCAAACTCTAAGTGAGTTAACTGGGATCTCTTAGTGAGTTAACTGGGATAATCCTGGATACCATGTGTCTACCAGTGTGAACGGTCAGCAAAAACAACACGCAAGAATATAATTGCCTGTTTACAGCAAATAACCAAGACCCATCCATTGGGGGGGACGACACCTGAAAGGGCTGTGATGTGTCCTTAAGGGTGGCACAGGGACACTCTAAAGAAGAAAATAGCAATGAGGAGTAGATTGAGAGGACAAAATTATGTAAATCTAACTTTAAAACTATTTAATTATTTTACACATTCATAAACAAAACTGATCCAAAATGTAGAAAGCAAAATCAAAATAAATTCAGCAGTCTGTGTATCCAACTGGCAGCTACTCCACAGAAAATAATGTGCTTAGTTTTCTAAGGTTGCCAGGCATGGTGGTACATACTTGTAATCCTTGGACTCAGAAAGCTGAGGCAGGAGGACCACCAAGAGCTCAAGCCCAGTTGAGCTCTTGTCTCACTACCAACAGCAACAAAAAGATCTTCAGATAAAAACAACAAAAGCCAAGAATTTAAACAAAAATCTTATAAGTCTGAATTAGATGTATAAATCTGAACTCATAATGTATGTTTTCTAATAAAACAAACACAATTCTAAATCTGAACTCATAATGTATGTTTTCTAATAAAACAAACACAATTCTAAATCTGAACTCATAATGTATGTTTTCTAATAAAACAAACACAATTCTAAATCTGAACTCATAATGTATGTTTTCTAATAAAACAAACACAATTCTAAGTATCTACTAAAAAGTCCTAGAAACAATTGCCAACATGACCCAACAGCAAGTAGCATTTCTAGAACCAACTGGGATTTCTAAGTATCATTCTCATTAAAAACTTGAGAGAAATGGATGACTCTAAGTTGAAAGCAGAATGATCCTGGGACAATCATCACTCTGGGAGAAAAAAAAAAAATCATTGACCACTGGGAGTCATATCCAAAGGATCTAAAAGCCAATTGGAAGGGACTTTGAATAATCTGAGCATGTTTAAAAATGGTGACATATACAAATTCATGAACTTACAATGATACAAAGCAAAACACTCACTGTTGCTCCTAAATGAACACTGGTGAACAAAGAACCTTACACTTTTCTTGCCCTTTTCTATACAAACTGAACCGCAGGGTAACTACATAGATGATAAAAAACAACTCCTTAGAGGCTGATAAGATGGCTCATTGGCAAAGGCACCTGCTGCCAAGAAGCCTGATAACCTAAGTTTGAGATCCAGGACCCACTTACGAGAGCATCATTTTGCCATGCAAAGTAAGTTTAAGGATTTGGGAAATGTCAACAATGGTTAATAAGTCAAAGAGAAAAATTGAAACAAGCAACACATAAGCACACTGATGGTCAGGAGACAGCACTGGCCACCCAACGGGATGCAACAGGAAGAACAAAGAACTGCTCTGATACTGATCATGTCTCTAGAAATCCCCTGTTCAGGTCTGCTGAGAAAGCTCAGCAACTAAGTGCACTTGTGGTCACATCAGGCAACGTGAGCTCTATCCCTAGAACCTAATGGTAGATAGAACAGACTTCTGAAAGTTGCCCTTTGACCTTCACATGCATGCCATGGTACACAAGCTCATACATAGACAGACAGACAGACAGACAGACAGACACACACACACACACACACACACATTAATGAAACGTGTTTAATATATTTTTAAAAATTAACAGTTTACATAGTAGATGGTGGAATATACCAAATGCCATCAAAGGGTAACAAAGCCAAGTTCAAAATATGCAAAACAACAAATGATCCAGTTCCTTCAAAAAATACATGTCAAAAGACATAAAAAGGATGTAAAAGATATATAAACCTCTTCTTGTGGTCAGAGGGTTGGCTCAGAGGTTAAAAGAACTTGTTGGGGTTCAGATTCTAGCATCCATATAACAAGCCAGGTGTCCCACAAATGTCTGTAACTCTAACTCTAAGGGGTCCATTGTTCCTCTTGCCTCTGAGGGTTCAAAGTTTATGCACTCAAATATATAGACGTGCATACACCCATACACATACACACATACACATTTTTTTAAAAAAAATCAATCAATCATTATAAAATAAAGGTGCTCAAGGTTAAAAAATACTGTAATGAAAAAATACATTAAAAATAATGGAAAATAATATACTCCAACTAAATAGTATACACGGGGGCCTTGTTTGGATCCTGACCCAACCAAGAAAATGTAAATATCTGAAGAGGCTTGACACTATTGGATATTGTTTGCTAAAGGACATCATCATTATTTTTCCCACTGTTATCTCCTTAGAGAGTAGCTTCTTCACTGAGGGTGCTAAGTTGAGGTAAACTCCCCAAAGCTTGAGGAAAACACCGAAAGTCCTGAGAGTTATTAACCTGCACCTTGATGCTTCAGTTTCCACATCCAGGAGAAGTGATGATGCACTGGTCAGTGGCTCTTGGCCATATTAGCACTTTCCAAAAGAGATGCCTGTCCTAGCAGGCCTTTCTATAGTAACAATTCCACTATGCTAAGCAAGGGTCATGTAGACCTCCTTACCTGCTGTGTCTGAGCCTGCTGCTGCTGCTGCTGCTGGTAAAAGGTGCCTGCTGGCTGCTGTGGTGCTGTCTGCTGCTGCTGTGGCTGCTGCTGCTGTTGCTGTTGCTGCTTGAGGAGGAGTTGCTGCTGGTGCTGGGGAGTGGCCTGGGCCTGGGGAGGTAGACCTTGGGTCTGGGTAGAAGGTGTCTGCTGAGGGGTGGGTGGAGCTTGTGGCTGCTTGGGCTGAGATTGCTGAAGAGGTTGACTGGGTGCAGGTTGGGCTTTAGGTTGGGGAACACTAGCTAGAAGGCCAGGCTGATTGCTGGGTCCTGTAATGAAAATAAAGTCCATGTAAGGGTTCAAAACTCTTATTAGACAAAAATGGCTTTCTGATTTACCACTCGAGAAATGGTAGAAGCAGGCAGACTGTCCCAAGCTTTGTCCACTCATCATCATTTTGTCACTTGCGATGTTCTATTTGGAACAGATTTCCATTTCTTGCTAAATCATGTGCTTTCAATAGTTCAAACCCAGGTAAAATTGTAAGATTCAATACTTGCCTCCTTCAGAGGGGTTTCCCTTATCCATCATCCCATTTAGCCAACTTGTCCTGTAGTCATCACCCTTATACACACATAGCTGACGATTCACTAAACATAGTCTTTGTACCAGCTTGCATAGCCACAGCAAAAGCATTCTTTGATATTTTATGAATAGCTTTCACAACTAGCATCTAAATGCCTGGCTGTATATAGACAGCCACCAAATTTATCAAAAATTGTTCCTGGTAAAGGATGTAATAGTTGTGGTCTATGACTTATTATTTTGGGTCAATTTCCGTTTGAAACAAAGCTCACTCCTCTCATATAACAGAATACTAGGACAAAGGATGATAAATACTCTAGTAAATGTAGCATTAATGAAATGCTATTCTTCTATAGTTATCAAAAAGAAGTAATCTTGTTTCTTTAAAGGAAGTAATCCTTGTTTCTTTAAAGGAAGAAACAAATAATCCTTGTTTCTTTAAAGTAAGGAGAAATATATAAAGTAAGGAAATAGGATGGGGTGGATGGACCAGACAACAGGCTTCAGAGGTCTTGGAGACAGATCCACGAAGTACAGAAAGAAGTTCCTCCTTGTGCAGTCACTTGCCATACACATTCACCGGCAACTCAGCCCATTATTCTCCAGGCTGTGCCTTCTAACACTATCATCAAGAAGCATGGGAACAAGCTGCAAACAGTTACTGACCTGCAGCCTGAGGTAGGGGCTGAACAGTGGCCCTCTTACGAGGAGTCAGGGCTGGCTGAATGGGAAGGATTCCTGGGTTTGGCTGAGTCTGCCCAGCCTTAGGCCTCTGGCGGGGTGCGATTGAAGTCTCTGTGGTGGGAATGGGATCTGTCAGTCTAGAAAGGGAAAAAGACATTGCTGTTAAAATGTAGGAAAACAGAGCAGATAGGCAGAGCACATGATGTTTTATCCTCAGCATTCCTTCATTTTGCTTAATCCCATTCAGATTTGCTTAATCAACACTTCCCCAAATGCCAACTCACCTACTAAGGCAAACACATCAACGTAACATCTTATCTCTCATCAGCAACCTTAAAGCCAGGAAAGCACAGAACGATACATTTCAAACTCAGAAAACACATAACACCCAACCAAAATTACCATACTCAGCAAGGCACTCTTTAAAAACCAATAGAGATTCAAGGACATGAGGGGAGGAGTGTATGTGCCACGATGCACACGTGGAGGCCAGAAGACAACAACTTCTAGTGTTGGTTCTCACCTTCTACCTAGTTTGACACAGTCTCCCTTGCACAGCACTGCATACACCAGACTAGCGAGTCTTCAACTACCTGAAGTTCTCCTATGTCTGCCTCCCATCTCCTGGTAGAGGGTTGCTAGGATTACAGACACATCCAGCTTCTACATGGGCTCCACCTAGTACTGTACCTACTAGGCTATCTCCCCATCCTCAATTAAGGATATTTGAAGATAAGCACAAATTAAGAGAGCTCATGACCACTATTCCAGCACAAACCTGTAATTTACAACAGTGCCTGCGTGATACACTGGTACAACAGTGTCACAAATATTATGGGAATAAACAACTACTATCTGATTGGATTTAAGGCTCATTCCTTAAGACAGAACCAAAGCCTGACAGGAGGCCAAAAACCTGAGACTAGATGGGCCTCGGGCCTAGGGGAACACAGCAACGAAATGACTACTGGTGATATTTTCTGCTTTATCTATAGACCAGTGTCTTGCTCAGACATCATGAGAAAAGCTTCCTTTAGTTGCAGTAGATGGGAACCAACATAGAGGCCCACAACTGAACACTGCGCAGAGTGAGAAACTTGGAAACACTCAGTCCCTAAAGGGGATGTCTTCATCAAATCTCTCACCTCAGGGCTCAGGCAGCCAGATGAAAGAGGAGGTAAAAAGATTGTAAGGGGATGGAGAGTACCAAGGAAACGGCTTCAGACAAAATGGGGCCAACAAACATACGAAATCACAAAGCTAAGGCAGCATACACAGGGTCTGCACAGGTTCAAGGTAGATGAGGAAGTAGACATGATTTCCCATCCTTAACCAACAATCTATCTCCAACTGACAACCATTTGCAGAGGAAAAATTAGTTTTCTCCAATAAAGTCTTACTAGGCATAAAAACTACACTTAAAGGTAGGCACCAAGGCCAAGAAGATAATCAACACAATATGTACTCATTGGTGTTTTTCTAGATTTTTTTTGTCTCATATTGCTTTGTTTGGCATATTTTTTTAAATTTACTAGCCTTTTGCCTGTATAATTAATTATAGTTTCTGATTTTGTGTTTTTAGTGGGCTCTATTTTTTGTGTATGTATATATGTGTTTCTTGTGCTTTCTCCTTTTTTCTTTATATTATTATTTTATTTATTATTCATTTTATTTATTTGTTTTTTTGTTGTTTGGTGGGGTTTTTTGTTGTTGTTGTTGCTGTTGTTGTTTTTGAGATAGGGTTTCTCTGTGTAGCCTTAGTTGTCCTGGAACTCTGTAGACAAAACTGGCCGAGAACTCACAGAGATCCACCTACCTCTGCCTACTGAGTGCTGGGATTAAAGACATGTGCCACCATCTCTCTCTCTCTCTCTCTCTCTCTCTCTCTCTCTCTCTCTCTCTCTCTCTTGCTCTCTGTCTCTGTCTCTCTAATTTGCTAGGTTTTTTTCTAAAGAGAGAGAGAAAGAAGGTGTGGAGTTGGATGGGTAGGGAGGTAAAGATGATCTGGGAGATGGGTGAAGGACACAGTGACCAGAACATACTGTTTGAACTTCCAATGAAAAAATAATAATAGGTAATAATAATAATAATAATAATAATAATAATAATAATAATAATAATAATAATAATAATAATAATAATAATAATAATAATAATAATAATAATAATAATAATAATAATAATAATAATAATAATAATAATAATAATAATAATAATAATAATAATAATAATAATAATAATAATAATAATAATAATAATAACAACTGCGCTACCTCCCCAGTCCCTAAATATACTTTTGAGTGACAAGTGAGTTTACTGAAGAAATTACGGGAAAATAAACAAGCTTGTTTTCCTTAGCACTAATTCTTTTACACTTAAAAGAAAAAGTAAAAATGTTACTAAATGCCCTCCCAAAAAGATTTTAAAAAGCTGGATGGTAGTGGCACACATATTTAATCCCAGCACTCTGGAGGAAGAGGCAGGCAGGTCTCCAAGTTTGAGGCCAGCCTGGTCTACAGCACCAGTTCCAGGATAGCCAGGGCTACACAGATAAACTCTGTGTAAGAAAAAACAAAAACAAAAACAAACAAACAAAGAAAAACACCACACATACATACAGAAAAAGATTTTTAAGAAATACTTGGTGGACAAATAAATTGTAAACACACTGACCAAAGATTGTGAACCAATTTCTTAAGCAAGTCAATGTGCTGAGATCCCGCCCAAGACAGGGTTTCTCCCAGCTCTGGCTGTCCTGGAACTTGATCATATACCAGGCTGGCCTTAAACTCACAGAGATTCACCTGATTCTGCCTCCTGAGTGCTGGGATTAAAGGCATGCACCACCAATGCCCAGCTGATTGATGAGATTCCTATATAGAAAACAGTGTTCCTCAAGACGACTCCATCTTGAGACTCTTTTACCATACCCAGGATTTCCAAAATATACTATGAGTAATAGTTGGGGCAGTGGTTTTGCACAGAGAGAACTTAAACCTGCTTAAAACTAGCTGTTATAATGGGCTCTCTAGTGGCTGGAGAGACGAACTTACGAGTGCTTGCTACTCTTCCACCCAACCTGAGTTCAGTTGCCAGCCTCTATATAGAGTAACTCACAATAGCCCATAACTCCAGCTCCAGGGGATCTGATGACCTCTTCTGACCTTTGTACTCACCTGGACATACCACCACACACAAATAAACAAAAATAACTCTTTTTAAAAGGTAGGGAGCACTTTGCTGTGAAAAGCATGCAGATGAACATACCCAACAGGACAAATGGAAGAAATAAGCAAATAGTTCAAAATAAAGAGTTTAAAATTGGGGAGTGTGACAGGAACACCATTTCTCAAATATGCATACTCTTTTGTTTACCACAATAATACATTTTCAGCTGGACACAGAGTTACCTAAGGTCAAGGTCACATAGCACAGCCTTTGCTGCAACCTGTATATATACAGAACTGGCTATATACAGAATAGAACAGGTAACTATCTGGCATTTTCTAGAAACCTTAAGGAATAATGGTCTCTTTGACTACTTCTTGATATTGCTGCTTTGAATATGGGTGCGGCCACATTAATCCATGAGATCATGGTTATGTTGTAAGTGGGAAAGTAAAAAGCATGAAGAAACCTGGGACCCAGGAGCTTCATGGAGCAAAACTACCAGACTACATTTGGTGGTCTGAATAAGATGTTCCACACAGTCTCAGACATTTAAACATTTGGTCCCCAGCTGGCGATGCTATTTGCAGAGGAAGTACACCACTGGGGGCGGACTTTGAGAGCTTGCAGTAAAGGATGTGAGATCCCACCATCTTACTCCAACCACCATGTCTGCTGCCAGGCCACCCCATCATGATGGACTCTTACCCTTCTGGTACCATTAAGCCTGAATAAAATACTTTCTTCTATAAGTTGTTTTGGTTGTGGTTCAATGGGTAAAAGCACATACTGCTTTTGTGGAGGTGCTGAAAGTTAAGTTCTCAACACTCATGTTGGGTAGCTCACAACTGTAACTCAAACTCCGGGGATCCACTATTCTCTTCTCACCTCTAGGGGGAGCACCTACCTTCATGAGCACATGAATCTGCTTGTCCATTACATTTGCACTTAATAATCAAATATTTTTAAAATGCAATATTGTCATCCAGGGTCTTTGTTTATAGTCTGTTAATAGCATTCCCTTGCCATGGGAGAATGGCAGTAAAAGGCGGGGCAGAGAACCTCCTGGTCACCCTCAGAATTTTTCATTTGGAATCCATGTAAAATGTCTAGCAGACCCTGAGTTGTGACAGGTGTGAAAACCAATGTAAAAGTCCAGTCCAGTATGTCCTAAAGCCGTCCTTCCCACAGACTACTCTCAGGCCCCAAATCCCAAGTGCAAAGACTCTAGTAGGAAGGGACTCCTCTGCTGGCTGGCTCTAGGATGAGGACTTCAGCTATCCTTCCTGAAGTGGTACAGTAGTCTGGGTCATGTCTACCCTCTCCTCTCCTTCCTCTCTGAAGTGAGATTTGTACCTCCCAACCACCCTCCCAGGCTTTCCTGGCTTGCTCCCTGTCTCCTCTGACTTGGGTACCTTCCTTTACTTGTTCAATCCTTTCCCTTGGTATCTGTTCTTGAAGACCCTAGGTGATGCCAGTGTGATTAGCTAGGACCTAGAGGGATCTTTTGTTGTTCATGGACTTTCATTTCAATCACACTTTCCTAATATGGCTAGAGCCAGAGAAGAAAGGAATGTCAGACTAGGGTGTAAACATGGCTAACCACCAGCTCAGAAACAGGTTAGGCCAATTCTCTACCAGCAACCCTTAAAGGCTGGCATTGCCTCATCCCAGAAAGGCCCTGCATCTATGGCCATGCAATAGATACATCTGTGAGGTTACTGATTCCTTTCAAATGTAGATCTTAACATTTTATTATATCCCTCTTGGCATTCCCAAAGAACAGTTTCTGCGTAGGGAGACAGAGTTTGCTTTCCTGATCTGGAAAGCCACACAGGACTCCAGCAGCAGGCACCTCCACTGAAGCTGACACCAAGCACAATGCAAGCTCTTGAGGGCATTTCTCACCTGGCCTTTGGCTGGGTCTTCTTTACAGCTGCCTCACTGGCTTTCACTGGTTCAGGAAGTTTTGCAGGAATGGGAGAGTTCTAAGAAGTTGAAATAAAAAAAATATGAATTTCTTCATAAATAATAAGCAGTATGAAGACCTTTGACAGTAATCCCAGGACTTAGGAGGTTAGGGAAGGAGGATCATGAAATCAAGGTCAGCCTGGGCTACACAGTAGGATCCTATTTTAAAACATAAAATAAAAACTCCAAACAAGGAACAACCAGTCTGACTAGGGCTAACAGAAGTAGCATTTGGGGTCTTCTAATATGACTTCCAGGACTTCATCTCCCTGTTACAGGGAAGGGAGGCTAGACAAATGCATGAGATGCATCAAGGAAGCAAAATGCCCAAGAAGAAAGAAAGAGCAGCAGGGTGAATAGAGTCTTGCTTCAGGAAAACAAGGCAAACACAACAGACATGCCATTCTCAGTGAGCTGTGCAAGCTGGAACCTGGCCACTCTACTCATAGCTCAATCCCTAGGCATTAGTGGAGGGGGTTGTTAATGTGCAGTGTAGTTGTCTCAGTTTCATAATTAAATTCCATGGGTAAATTGAATTCTCTTTATAGTAACTGCTTTACTTGAATGTCCTGTAGTGGGTAAAGCAAGGGACATAAATATTCATTGAATCCAGAGATTAATACCCACAATGACTCAAAAATAACAATTAGATGATGTTTATTTCCTTTAAATAGCACCATTTTAATGAACTCATGGCAGCTGTAGTTATATGCACAAGACCTACCCAAGATCAAGTTAATCAAAATTCTAGAGAGTCCTGAAGCCTCCTTGCTGAAGAGTTGAGCAGCTGATGCATGTTGAGGGAAAGTTATTTATCTTTGGAGATGTAACAACAGTAGGTAGCCAGAGCTCAGGTGCATAGCCCCACATTTGTGGGCATACAGGCAAACTAATAGGATTCAGTAAGTTATTTAAAAACAAAAAAGAAAGGAAAATGACAACAATTTGGGAGGGCCAGGGGCTAGAGAGTGTTGTAGGTAAGAGGGAATAATCGGGATGGATATGATCAAAATAGATTATATACATGTATGAAATTATCAAAGAACAAATAAAAACATCCTTAAAAATTATAATTTGTTTAAAAAAGCACCATTCACATACCTGTACATTTGGAATTGGGCATTCTTTCTTGAGCAGTTTAAATGAGAAGTAAGAAACCTGGTAAATATCTGGCCTTTTGTCAGGATCTGGTTCCAACATATACCCTAAGACAGACAGACATAAACTTATTCCATAATATCTTAACAGTTGTTGCATCAGCTAGATAACTGAACTTTTCTACTAGCGAAGTTGGGTTGTGGTTTAAGTTTCAATTCTTATAAAAGTCAGACAGTTCAATTAGCCCTTTTCCTAGCAAGAAAAACAAGAAAACTCCTTGAGCTGTAGCAAAGCTACTTGAGGTTAATATCCTGTGCCTGTAACGTCAGGAGCTCACACTCTCGACATAAAAATGAGCAGCTTTTACTCTAAGACTTAGACTGTTCCATGATCTTGCATATGGTTCCCCAGCTCATTCCCTCTGCTAAACAAATGACTGTTGACAAATACAACCAACCTTCAAACATCATGAACTCAGGGTTTGGTGGAAGACAATCCCTGGGTTCTGTCTCCAGGTCTAAAAAACAAGCTACGACTAACACCAAGACTAGCCCTTCTCTCCCATTTCTTTCCATATCTGCAGTCCTAGGACACACTGCTTTGACTTCAAACAATCTAACAATCCTTGAGGTTCACATTCCTATCCTATAAATACCCTATCCTCATGGAGAAGTGTCACAATGAAAAGGGCAGTTGTGGAACTGCCCAAATTTTGTCAACTTGAGTAAATCATTCCGTTTCCTCTACGGGTAACATGGACAATGACCCTTAAAATCTACAGGTTTTGCTAGGCTAAGCAGAGCACACTTTTGATCCCAACACTTGAGAAGCAGAGGTAGGCAGATCTTTGTGAGTTTGAAGCCAGCTTGGTCTACATAGTAAGTTCCAGGACAGCCAAACCTACATAGTGAGATGCTGTCTCAAATTAAACAGATAGATTAGACAGACAGACAGACAGACAGACAGACAGACGGAAGTCCACCAAACCTACAGCTTTTGAGAATAGGTGAGGTACAGGTAGGCCTCAACACAGGTCAACATTCCACCCACTTCTCTTTCCCCCAAACTGGGTAGCTCAGAATTTATGGTCTATGATGCTTTTTCAAACTTGGTTGCTAAATGTCTTGACTAGCATTTTTAAAGATGACTTTTTAATAAATCTGTCTCTTTAGCATTTTGTACAGGTTCTGGTACAAAACTTACTTTTCTGCCATCTGGTTAATGGATGTTAGTACATATGCTGGCTATGATAACACAAAGAAAGGAAAATCTTCAGAATTTTAAATAAAACACTCAATTTAGATGCTTGTTGTAAAAATCTAGTGATAACCTAAATAAGAGGAAAAACCTGGCTCCATGGAATTATATGTCTTAATTACACATTCATTCCAGCAGCATAATCATGCTCACTTGAGCTGCTTCCAGCTTTACAAAGATGAATTTCTTATCCTTTGAAGTGAGTCAGCTGGACTTGGAGCTCTCACATAGATTGCAGAACACAGCAGCATTACGCTGCTAGGAGCACAACTACCATTCCCATTTGTGTGGCTGGCTCAATCATGAAGCAGAGTTTAGTTTCCCAGCAAAAAGACCAACTTCTCTAAGTGAAGACTGTCATGCTATCACCGTTCCCAACAATATCAAATAATTTCTTTACCATTGCACTCAATCTTATTTCTGGAATTTAATCCTTTATCCTTCAATCCAATACTAGCAATTAGAAATAAAAATATGAAACTGGAAACTTGAAATACTTACTAATAAGGCAGTGCATGTCTTGAGAATATCGGGAGTTATCTGGAATTGTGAAGCTTCCATCACAAATTGCCACCTGGCTCTCCCCAAATGGCAAAGTGAAGTAGCATAACTTATACAACAAACAGCCAAGAGCCTAAAAAATAAGAGATCAGATTGCAACTAGTATTTACTGTAAAGCCAGCGATCTGCTTAGAGAGTCCAGTACCAGTCATGTTTCCCAGCAGACACAAACCCCACATAAAATTACCTGTGTGACACTTGAATTTAGAACACAGAGTGACACTATGGCATCTGAGTTACATTTATTTTATCTATGACTAATAAAAACTATTTCACCTGGTTTACTCTTTAGGAATATACCATACAAACGAAATGCACTGGAACAACATGCAAAGCAGGTTTGGTTTTTGTTGTTATTGTTTGTTTTTTTTTTTTTGTTTTTACCCCATATTCCAAGAGACCATGGCTTCCCCTCACATCAAGAGTGCTGGGGAGAAGGCTCAGTGGTTAACAGCACTGGCTGCTCTTCCAGAAGACTAAAATTCAATATCCAGCACCCACATGGCAGCTCACAACTATCTGTAGCCCCAGTTCCAGGGGATCCAACACTGTCTTCTGAGGACACGATACACACATGGGACACAGACATAAATGCAGGCAAACATACACACATGAACTAATAAAATAAAAAGATTATCATCAACAGTGGGCAACATGGAGTGCTCGCCTGCCCCTGGCTAGTTAAGCTCAGGCATCAGCCAAGGCCTGCTGACATCTGGGGTGTGGATGACTTAGTTGACACATACCCAAATGTCTGCCTTCGTAGTGATGATTTTGCCACTGTACAAGTTGACCATTTCTGGGGCTCGATAGGACAGTGTTGTGTATCTACAATCAAGAGATCCATAGTTTGTTAAATATATCAGTGTTATAATTAAAATCAAGGAGAAGCAACTTTTTTTCACATTACTAGAATCCAATTCTCTGGTAGCAATCTGCAGAAAAGCAAATTAAATATTAGTACAGATAAAATGAAAGATTCTCCTTGGTACAATGATGTTATTATATCCTCTCATAGCATACCTTCTACTCCTAGGACACTGGGGTATTGGGGTATTGAAGACACAAATGAACTAAATAAAGTCCTAAAAGAACCCCTTTTGGGAGGGGGGTCTTCACATGACAAAATTCCCCTATAAGTCACTGGAGTCTAATACTAAGTTTTGATAATTAGTTTTCAAAATAGTAAACCCTTAACATGAGACCCAGAGATGCAACATAAGTAGGATATTCTGAAACTGAGCCCTGCCTGGGGTGGGGATTCATGTGTTCTCTTCTGGGAGAGGGTAATGTATGTAGTGTGCATGTTCACGTGTGTGGAGAACAGAAGCTGATATTGAGTGTCTTCCTCCATTGCCTACCAATTTGTGTCTTGACACTTGCTGGGACGATGAGGCTAGCTATCCAGCTTGCTGCAGAGAATCCCTGTCTCCACCTCCCAAGTGCTGGGATTACAGACAGGCCATCATTCCCACTAGGCTTTTCTGTGAATGCTAAGGATCCAAACTCTGGCCCTCACATTTGCATGGCAAGCATTTTAAGCACTGTGCCATCCTTTCAGCTCCATAAACATGGGTTCTTTGAGGCTAAAACTACAGTGTTCTTATCTTTGGCTCAAGAAAACAGTACGTAAGCACTTGTCCCAAGTGAATATCTTGACATTACACTCAACTAAGCTGCTCTAGTATCTGGCCCCAGGGAGATTTATTTGGGTGTCTTATCAGGACCTTGGACTAGAAGTGGTCTTGCCTCAGGCATAGTTATCTGAGTGATACACATAGGGGGCAGAGGCTCACCATCTGCAAGCACATGATGGACAGCTGATTTACTAGAAGCCATAGTGAGTATATCGTGCCTGGGAAAACCTAACATTGTGGGCATGAGGTTCCTACAGGAGTCAAAAATCTAGAGAGACTTCCTGTCAGGTCCCTGATTTAGTAACTGCAGAGGTTTCAGTAGCTCTCTTTACCATAAATTCCTCTAGAGAATGGTTTAGTTCCTCATGAAAAAGGAGGTACAAATTTAGAGTTCAGGATAAACCACACACCTGTCTGATTCATAATGCCATCCTATGACTTCCCTTGGAAATATCATGGTACTTCAGTAAGTATGTACCACCATTTAGCCTTTAGTTTTCCTTTTGGTTTTTGAGACAGGTCTTGCTATATGGCCCGGCCAGCCTTGAACTTAAATTCTCTTGCCTTAGCTCCTGAGATGCTGGGGTTATAGGGATATGCACAACTCCCCCACCCTCTCCAATTATCACTCATCTTTTTATGGATATGTGGCATTATAAATTAAAATACATGAATATAGTGACCACAGGAGCACTGAGAAAGTTTTAAAACTCTTCTGCCAGTCCACCAGCCAGTATTCCCTCCTTAGCCTCCACATACAATCAAACAATGCCACAGTGAACATCCACTTTGGGAAAAGGTATCCAGTCAACACCATATTCTTCTCACTGCTTCATCCATAAGCTGAAAGAGAATGTGTTCATCTGACAATGGACAAAACCCCAGGAAAGGAGAAAGGGCTTACTTCTTAATCTCATCTTCTACTGCATTGACTCCCTCGGCCTGTGGGTTCTGGAATTTGTTGGTGGCACTTCCAAAATCACACAAGACATAGTGGCCTCGGTCATGCAAGAGGATATTTTCAACCTGAAAAACATTCCCAATCCACCCAATCCAAGATGACACTTAGTAACGGGAAAAGCTAGTTTTACAGTCACATAACAAAAGGCTTCATTTCCAAAATCATATGAGTGTGCACAGAGAAGTATTCCTCACCATGTATCTTTACAGGACTCACCCCAACTGAAGCAAGAAGAAACACAGAGGAACAGGGTAAAATGTGGGCAGAGAGCGAGACAGAGCAAACTGAAATGATGGAAAACCAGGGCCCCATTTTCACGTCTAGTCAGCCACAGCCAGTCACATTTCTCAACTCTGTAGTAACAGTGATCATGCTTTCAAACTCTTGCTCTACTTTAAATTTAGCACACTCTCCATGATCCTAGCCTCTTATCCAACTACCAAATAATCATTTGCCCTTCAAATCCAAGTACAAAGGCTACCTCTTTTTGGAAGCCTCCCCAAGGACCCAACTCAGAAAAATACCATTTCCCCATTTCCCTTCAGTGTTTCATTTTCCATGCTATCAATTCAAAGTGGGTATAATAATGCCTTTACTATATTAGGTTAAGACCTTCAAAACTGACGTTTTTCATATGAGTTACTTCTCAAAGTGACAAAATGCCTGGTAATAAACAAGAAGTTTCTCTGTTAGAATCTTACTGAGTGTTTGGGTTATTTGTTAGTTTGAACTTTTAAACAAAGGAAGTCTTTGGGTACTAAGTTAAGAGTTTTAGCTTAGTGGAGGTTATAAGAACCAAGACCTAGAGAAACACTTATGCCCATGAAAAGAACTCCAAAGGGGGGGGGGAATGGGCACAGGCTGGAGAGATGGCTCAGCAGTTAAGAGAACTCACTGCTGTTGCAGAGGACCCAGGTTCCATTTCCAGCACCCACATGGTGGCTCACAATAATATGTAAATCCAGCTCCAGGGGATCCAATGCCTTCTTCTGGCCTCAGTAGGCACCAAGCATGCACATGGTATATACAAAATAAAAAATTTTTAATTCAAATTTTATTGTTATTTTTGATTTTGGTTTTTGAGTCAGGGTTGCTCTGTGTAGCCCTAGTTGCCATGGAACTCTCTGTAGACCAGGCTGGCCTCAAATTCACAGAGGTCTGCCTGCCTCTGCCTCTGCCTCTGCCTCTGCCTCCTGAGTGCTGGGATTAAAAGAAAAAATACTGAGCACAACATTGTCAAGATGCGGTGATTAACTCTTGTGGAGGATTGAGTTGACCAGCATGGGGGAAGACAGACCTGGTTATGCATGGCAATAAAATGGCAGCCAAAACCCCAAAACCTTGCTAACCCTTTTAGACTCCATGGTCCTTTTCTTCAGGCCCCCCACAGACTGACCACCTTGGAAAAACAAAGGCAACATAACTATAAGCTCCTCAAAGACAACCACCTCTCAGTCACAGCTGGAATCTTCTTTGCCCAATTCTACTAGAATTTTAGTTCAGAAACTGTTGGATAGAATTTAAAACAAAACAAAAAAAAAGACAATAATCGTGTTGGGCATGCACACATTCAAGGATCATTCATGTTCCAGCCAAGACAGGAGTCAAACACCTAAGCCCCTACTGGTTCTTTACAAACATCTGAATGAATAGGAATCCTCTTGTTTCTATTGTTATATCTAAATTTTTCTCTTAATTCTTCTAAAATCTGAATTAAATGTATTTTTAGTCTATATTTGCTAATTCTAACTATTTGAAATCTTTGCTGCAAACTGACTACAGATTATTGCTTCCTACTGAACTTTATATTTAGTGCTACTGTGAAGAGTTTTAATGTTGTTTTTAGGTTGTGTCCTTTGACCTTCGCGTGTAAGAAATCTTTTACATCTGTGGTTCTGCTAGAGGATCAGAATGGCGGTGCCAGCGGCACTCCACCTGTACTATTCACCTAGAGGTACGGAAGGGCAGCAGCGATGGCCATGCACCTAAGTAAATAGGTTCTTATGATGAAGAATTCTTCACCACAGAATTAAGAATTATGAATGACTGGGGCAGATTTGTTCCCCTGAAATTAAAGCTAAGGCAGAAAATATTTCTACTACCTCTATCTTTTTATAAAGCTCACCAATTTAATCTATTTACACAAAGAGAAACAGCCAAGCTATACTGAGCATAAACTCACCTTAAGAATCTAAAATATGAGACTGATACACGGAGGAGGACCTAAGGTCTCCCCCAAATGAATGACAGGCTTTGATGATTCCCTCATGGAAGGCCTCACCGTCCTTGGGGAGCAGGTGGGGTGGGTTGGGGGATTGGTAGGGAGCTTAGGAGGATGGGAGGGAGAGGGAATGGGGGGGGTGATATTAAAATGATTGTTTCTAATTTTTTTTAAAAAAAGAAGAAAAAAAGATGTTTCTACTCTATGCCTGCCAGTATTGTCCCACTGTCCTCACACCTTCAATATATTTGAGTCTCCACTGCTTTGGGGGCTGCACTTTCATTAATGGCCACTCCTGCTTCCTTCCATGACTCCTTTAACCCTAGAATCTCCAGTGAGACTATGTTTATGTTTATGTCATTATCATGCTGTTTTAATTATTATGGTTTCATTGTATATTTTGAAATCTGTAACGGTGGTACCTCCCTCAGTAGTCATGTCATTTAGGCATTTTTTTTTGGCCTTCTTTTGGTCCTTTGTACCTCCATTTACATTTTTAGGTTGTTTTTCTTTCTACATCTGTGAAAAATAGTCTTGAAATTATGTTCATGAATCACATGAATTAATCTTGTAAAAAAAAAAAGGCTATGCTACAAAAAAAAAAACAGTATGTAGGTACAATGCAATCACAATAAAATATTCCTGGTATATTTTTTAATATCCAAAAAAATCCAAAATAATAATGACAACAAATTAGCACTCATAAATAACAGACGCCATTTGATATGCAGTAGCTACCGCCAGTATTACTTTACTCAGCACAGTTCATGGATTATGATTCCCATCTTACAGATGGAGAAAGTAAGGCTCATGGTAATTCAGTCAATACTATAACATGGCTAGCAAGCGACAGAGCTTGGAATGAACCTAAGGCATGTCTGTAAGAAAATACAGACAACTCCACTTGCTGCCAGGGCAGCAAAGTCAGAAGCAGATCACTCAAGACCTCATGACCACCTTCAGCTCTGAGCTGCAGTAGGGGTTGTGAGGAGATGGGAATGGGCTTATGGGCAGACTTTCTTAACTCTTTATATTCAGAAATGCGCCTAGCATGGGAATCTAGACAACAAGAAGTTAGTCATCCTTCCCAGGCAGATGTTTTTGTTCAGGGTTGCCTACGCTTTCTTTATATCGTCTTTATGTCCCTTACTCCATTGCTCACTCTCCATTAGCAATCTTGGCAATTCATGAAAACTTTGCTGGCAAAACCTTCTATGACTACCCTAAAACATATGTAGAATTTACTACCCACAGGAGGGTGTTGGAAAGGCCTTCAGGCCAAACCTAGTCATACCCACAGGTTACTTATTCTGCAGTCTACATGTTGCAATTTGTGTACAAAATGCCCATCAAAAGGTTTCTGTGGACACATCCTAGGCCCTGCCCAGGATGATATGACAGACTTTGGTGAACTCCCATGGAGGGCCTTACCCTCCCTGGGGAGCAGAGGATTGGGGGGCTGGGGGAGGGGAGGGAGAGGGAGAAGGGATTGACATGTAAAGCAAGCTTGTTTCTAATTTGAACTAATAAAATAATAATAATAATAATAATAATAATGATAATAATAATGATGATAATAATAATGATGATAATGATAATGATAGGTTCCTGTGTTAAAATCTTGGTCTGCAGCTAGTACATTCAATCATGAAAATGTTGATTTCTTTAATGAACTGATCCACACATGAGTTCACAGCTGAATGGGCTTTTAGGAGGTGGATTACTAGTTGTGTGCCCTTAAAGGTTCTCTCTGGTCCCCAGTCCCTTCTTGTTTCCTTATGCTTCCTATGTAAGTACCCCACCATGACATTCTGTCTCACCTCAGCTCAAAGCAATGGAACAGGTGACCCTGGACTGAAAACTCCTAACTGCAAACCAAAGTATTTTTCCTTCTTTTTGTTTTTCTCAGGTACCTGTCACAGCAATGAAATCTGAATAACATAGCTACTTTTTCACCAATGAAGAGTTAAACAATTCAATGAGATTACATGAATATCATGTCTAAAACAGTCCTATCTGCCCTTCTGCTGGCAAAGTTTGCCAATGTTTGATCTGGCTGATGATTCAGAATTCTGCTCGGGATCTGTAGCTGACTACTGACATACTCATGATTTCCTTCCCCAGCACAGTGCAAATCCTTTGGGTTAGGGTGGTGTACTAACCTAGAAATCTCTCACAGATCTTACACCAGCACTGTACTTCAGCAGGTGTTCTTAAAAGTCTATGAAATCACTTGATCCACATTGGGTAGATATTTTTCTCCCAGCCTCATGCACCCTACAGGACCTATGTGAAATCATGCACCTCCTAGTTTATGCATCCTCTCCCTTTCCAAGTCACATTCTGTACCTGTAATACAGAATGTTCATCTATCTAGAAAACTAAAAAGTTCATCCATAATAAATAGCATGGTAATTGCAGCATCAAAAATCCCTACTGGGGAATGAGGAATTAAGCAGACAAAACAGAGAAAGATGAGGCACACTGCTGGCCTGAAATAAACAACACTATCTATTCTACCTACTTTGCCCATCTGAGGGGAGGGTCAGAAACTCTGAAGGTGAAATAGATTGTTGGCACCCCTGCATTCTCCATCTCTTCTCAGAATGTCCTGTGAAAACCTGGGCCAGCCTAGTCACTACTCCCCATCATCACCACCACCAAAGCACTCAACAATGACAATGGACTCAGGGTGGAAGACTTCAATATTTCTGATGTTTGAGCTTAATTAAGTCTGCAAGTCTCTTTTGACTTGTTTCTTATCTGTAAAGCAGGATTGATAACATTCCCATCACTGTTACAATGAAGCAAGTAGGGAATATATGTCAAAGTAAACTGAAAGTTCCCTGACAAATATATTACTGCCATTCACTTATGAAAAAAACATGTTTGAGTTCCTACAATATGTCAAGTACTCCAGTGATACGGCTGTAGAAAAACAAAATCTAGTCTCTTCTGGAGCTCAAAGTCCAAGTGGGAATAAAAAACTAATTATAGTTGTCCGGTATTGAAAAATACTATGAAAAAAAAATCCCTGCTGGTTAAATATAGGTAAACTGAAAAGGAATGCTACTTCAAATGACAGTTCTGGAAGGCCTCTCAAATAAGGAAACCAGAATGAGATGCTGCGCCAGGGGCTGTTTAGGAACAGAGCATTCTGAGCAAGAAGCCACAGCACGACTGAGATAGACATGTGCCTGAGGGGTCTGATGCATAGGTCAGCCCATGCAGCTGGGCCAGCACAGTGCTAAGATGGAAATGTGGAAAAGGGGTATTACAGGACAGTGCTGTCACTTCTGGGGAGATCTGTGTGGCACAGGAATAAAGTACTGAGGCAGGAGTGACATTACTGCCAATACTGGACTCAGTACCACATGCCAGACAATCCATACCCTATGCACTTGTACTTATAGTGGCCATGGAATCCTCATTAAGCTTTACTGTGCCCCTTAACAGATGGAAAAAGGTAAGCCAGTCAAATACTCCATTTTCCTGGGGTCAGGCTGGCAGGGCAGGATTTAGCAAGACGCTTGCTGACTTCTGAGACCACACTCAGCTACCATGCTGATGTGTAGCATTCAGTTAATGAGCATAGACACTTCAGGCTGGTAAGAGAAAAGAAGGGAGCAGAGTAAAAGAGAGGCTGTGGAAGACTACGTAGGAGACATTTGGGATTTCTAACTTTAGAAACTCAAGAAAACGACCATTTCTCTCATCTTTGCAGAGAGAAAGAATAAAAGAAAGTAGACGATGAGGGCAGAGCATGAAGGAAGAGGAATAAGTCCAAGCAAGGGCAAATGGCAATGGAAAGGGGCAGGTGGAAGGTACCAAGTTAAGAGAGCTTAGTGAGGGAGAGAACTGACTAGCATTCACACACATTGGCAGAGTGAGAGTAGCCACATGCTTAGGCAAAGCCCTGAGGATGCAAGCTTGTGACTGGTTGCCATTTGTAGTCACCCTTACTATGCCCACAGTAACTGACAGAAACAACTTAAGGGAGAAAAGATTTATTTTGGTTTACTGTTTCAGGGTATTTTTATCCATCCAGAGGGGAAGGCATGGTAGCATGCATCACATCATAGTGAACCACCAGGAAGGGGCAGACAGTGGCTGAAACCAGGGCCCAGGCTACATCTGCTAAAAGGCTCACTCCTAGGGATCTGCTTCTATCAGCTAGGCTCTACCTCCTAGAGGCCCTACCAGCTGGGGAAAAGGCATTCAGAACACAAGCCTGTAGGTGACACTTTAGATCCAAACTATAACACCACTGCTTACTGCTGGGTAACACTTCAGTTCTCTGAGAGTCCAAGCCACTGATCTTATTCCCAGCCTAACAGCTTAAGAGCCTTATTAAAGCTGTCACTCCAAGTTCTCACAGAGCCTTTACTGGGGGCCTGGAAAGCTACCTCTCACTGGCCTCTCTTTGCCTCAACGTTACTCCAAACAGCTTGGCACTGAGGCATTTCAAAGAATTGAATACCTCTGAGAATCGTGGAGGGTTAGAAGAACACATCTTCAAACATGTGCTTTTAAATTTAGGGTAAGAGCCCTTACCCTTCTATTCTCCATAAGATCAAAGTCTCTTTTGTGACAAAAAAGGTGAGCTCTATGATTTTTCACCTTGATATATTGGTTCATCATGAACTCTTTCTTGCTCTTTCTTAAGTGCAAGGACAACTAGCACAAATTAACACAACAAAATAAAATTTTAAAAAGAAGGAAACAAGAAAAACAACCTCTGTCTCTATTCTGATCTGACAATTAGCTGTGGGGGCAGCAGTCATGGATTCTGGCAAGGATTCTGCACTAGCAAATAGTAAAGGCTGGAATAGGTGATCTTCCCAGATTCAACCCCATGGTTTGCAATGATGACCGTTATCTTCCCTCAAAGAAATGAAAATTAAAACTGAATGAAAGTAAATGAAGCGTTACAATAACATCTGAAGAGAACTCTTCCATAGCACAGTACCTTTTGTGATTATTTTCAGGACATAAACAGTCTACACTTTGAGTTCATATGCCATATAGGAATGGAAAGAGAGGCACACTCATGCTAGGTAGGGCAAGTGGAACTTCCCTCAGTTTTGCCTGTGAATAAGCAGACCCCACTCAGACTAGCCCAGGTTCACACAGTTCAACAGGCATGGCTATCCAGAGTTTAGAGAGGACAGAACCACACAGCTCGGAGAAGTCAAATAATCTACGGAACAAGCTCAGGAGCTTGAGCTGAGACCTCAGAGTCTAGGGAAGGCAGGATAATGAAGGGGTCAAGTGCTGCAGGGAGTCTAAAACAAACACTCAAAAGTGCCCTTTGCATTTGGCACTATCAAGCAATGTTCCTATGCTCTTAGAGTTCTGCTGCCACTGCCCATAGGGTGGTATACGAAATCTCACACATAAGAACCAGATTTAAATTCTGACACTACTGTTTCCTATTGGTAAGGACTTGGGCAAGACACACAGCCTCTCTGCTATTTAGTTTCCTCACCTGTAAAATGTAATGGCGAATGTCTAAGAAAACAGTACACATAAAGTTCAGTAGAATATTTAGCACACCATTGCTGCTCAATAAATACTAAGCTCAATCCTATCAGGTGCCAATTCTATTGTGCAAATGCTATCATGTGACTTCAATATGAAAGACACAGAACAATGTGATGGTAATCAGGATCGATTATTAAAAATAACTAATGAAATTTTCAAAATATGAAAGAGAGATAGAGATACAATTCAGTGGTATATGACTTGCCTAGCATGTGCAAGGCCCTGGGTTTAATCCTTAGTAATAACAAGTGTGTGTGTGTGTGTGTGTGTGTGTGTGTGTGTGTGTGTGTGTGTGTGTGTAATAAAATATAAGCATCATTATAAGCTACTTAAATTAACATATTAATTTTCAAAACCATTAAAAAATTTAAGAATGCAGTAATAAAAATCAAAACATGAATTCAGGCATTTGAAATTTTAAAACTTCTAGAGGCTAGTAGTTAACAAGTTGATACTTGCATTGTGCTTTTGCTTTGTATTTTCTCTCCCCAACTTCATTGTGAGCCCAAAATTAGGAACTGTGTCTTTCCTACCCCTCAATATGTGCTCCACCCATGGGACAGACATACACTCAGTAAAAACACACTCCACAAGCAGTCAGTCTGTTACCTTCAGGTCCCGGTGTATAATAGGAGTTTTGCACTGATGTAGGCGGGCAACAGCCTCACAGGTGTCACAGAATATTTGCAGGACTTCATTCTCTGTAAAGCCTGTTTGTAGACGCTGGTTCATCAGGTTTACCACCTGACCTCCTGAGACAGGTATAGAGAGCAAGGGAAAGGATATTAACAGGCAGACACATCATTTGGACGAAGGCACTGACAGCTGTCCAGACAGAAGTGGATCACTGGCCAAGCCAGCACTAAATCCCAGGGGTCTCAAGTCTCTGTTTGAGATTTGTTTTCTTACAACCCAATGTCTTCTCTGATACATCAAAACCAAATTATTTTATTAATCACACAGATGTGACCTGCCCTCATTGTATCCTCAAGATTAGAAGCAGAACTAACATCACAGTCAGTTATTGCTGCCTGGTAGTTATGTCCCCATGGTGTAAGAGATGAGGCCACAGTCTCTGTTATGTCTTTCAGCAAAAATTAGACAGCACAACAGTAGAGAAAAAAAAAAATGGGGCTGTTCCCACTTTGAAGTCTTTAACTCTGAGTGAACTTGGTCTCACTGGGGGAACTTGGTCTCTCTGTGAACAAAAGACTGGTTACTAATCTTAAACAAAATTATCCAGACCTGAGTCCTCCTACTACCTGGCATCTAAAAGGTCCTATGCAAAAAAGGGGAATAAATTATCAAATTCAAATTTGGTGGGATTTTACAAAATCAGATAATAGTCAACAAAAGCCAAAACTATTGGTTAATGTCATATTTATAGAATAAGGAACAATTTATGAGGCAGGCAGTGGTGGTGCACACCTTTAATCCCAGTACTTGGGAGGCAGAGGGAGGTGGATCTCTGAGTTCGAGACCAGCCTGGTCTACAAGAACTAGTTCCAGGACAGCCTCCAAAACCACAGAGAAACCTTGTCTCGAAAAAAAAAAAAAAAAAAAAAAAAAAAAAAAGAAACAATTTATGGACAATATCTATCTTTAAAGTCAGAAAATGTTACTGGCACTAAGGGCAATTACAAAACAAGGCATCAAACAGTAAGGCAATGACCCAAACCTATAAAGTCAGCTGCTTAGGCCAAAAGAGACAAATCTCCAAACAATGGATGTATGGGATGTCATCAACTCAACACATTTGTGCTACAGTCTGGATTTCCCAGGATAAATGCATGAAACTTCAAGCTTTCATCTGTTTACAGTTGGAAGCAGAAGTACCTGAATGTAGCTTAACTGGGTATTATAGCCCCAGAGCAATAAGAGGGTCATTTTCACAGACAAAAAGAATTCTTCCACTCCATCACAGGAGGGCAGTGAAGTGAGTGGAGAAAGGTTAGGGGAGGCTGCAGTTTCTGTACAAGGCTTTTATTATGTACCCTTCACTGTTAAACCCTCATAAAGAACCCATTTTTTCTTATTTTCATGTGGTTCCATTTATATACACAGCCAAACCTTTCTATACCTAATGAAGACAGAGTCTGGAATTACCTATCGCTTTCAATTCTTTGTACCATAACCTTTGTAGTCATGAAAATAACCAAGAGTAGGAATGGACTGCATAGCTTTCCCATCCATGAAACCAGAACATTATCTTCGGGATGCCATGGTCCCCATGCCCTTGACCATTAAAGTGCCAGAAACGAGAGCTTCAGTAGGCTCAACACACACCTCTGCAGAAGTCCATGAGAATGAGAACTTCCCATACGTCGCCACTGCTTACATTGTTGATACTAGAATCAATGTAGCCCACAATGTTCTTGTGCCCTGACAGGTCCCTCTGTGAACAAGAGCAGAGAAGTACATTGTCAGTTATAGACACAGTGGGGCAGAATTAGCAAGCTTGGTTCCATTAGCACAAACAATTTAAATACATAGAAACAACACTAACAGTGTGGAAAAGGGAAAGTGACATCAAGAACAAATTTCTGGTGGTCTTTGAGGAGCCCAGACAGATTTCTAAAACAGTTCCACTGTCCTGCTGAACCTCTAGAGCCACGGGTCTAGAATGAACCACACACAGAACACTGACTTGGTCACCGTATTAGTGCTCCACCTAAACCAGAAGCAAGGACTCCTATAACATCCAGAAATACTGCAAAGACAAAAACCACAACAACTACTCAAACATGTAAAATTTTAATACAGAAAAACGGAAATCTAGGCTTCTGTTTATGGGGGCAAAAGTGAATTCT